TAGCGACCAAGCGGCACAAGGCCCACACCTCAGACCGCGCGGCCACTGCGGACCTCCAACAGTACTACAGAAGTACATAACTGGCAGTTCTTTTGAAAATAACTTATTTCCTCTCGTTTACAGAAAACTGGTTTTGGCAAAGCAAAGGGATTTGATTTCATTCTGTAGTTTCTTGTATTATTTGCACTCTTCCTTGTACAAGTTTTTGGTCTGCAAACTTAGTGTGAATTTCACAAGAGTTCACTGGCTCTTATTACTGTCATTCATCTCATTCAGATTACAACAGTTATTGCACAGATTACCTTCCTAATTAATTTTTCACAAACAAAACGTTCCTTGGTATGATTTTATTAAAAAAAAGGGCATAATGAAAATTAGCTTCAGGAATCTGTAACATCACTTAACCCCACTTTAAATCACAGACAACTGCAGTCAGTATACCACAGTTCAAGGTCTCTGAATTATACTGTGCGGTATAAAACTGTGAAAGAAGGAAAACCAAGACCCCGACCTCCCATTTTCTGAGAACTGCGTCTCTTTCACTGTTCAAGGTGAACTAAAATCGAGATCCAATCTACAAAGTACTGTGACTTACCTCTGAGTGAACATTTGGTGAGTTCGCATCTCTGCAGAAAGCATATTAAAATTCTCCGTCCGTCTTTACACTTGTAAAGGCTATACGTGCTCGGCTTCATGATACTAGTCCATTAGACAAATTTTAACACCAAAATGATTTTAATGAACACATCGCGAAATTTGATATTGGACCGAATTATTACAGTTTTATTTACAAGGTGATAACTAAAATTAATTGAACTTATAATTTTTATCAGCTGACAAAGACGTGCATGTGTCTATGGCGCCAAAGTGAATGTGGAATTACAGACATTACATTGGATCAACTGCAAACACCAATAAACAAATTTATGTGATGTCAAATTTGAAGGAAACAGATGAAAGATCTTTCTTCAAAGTCTGTACATGCAGATGACGTAACTGATGTTTTAATTTTCTAATTTAAAGAGGCAGCTAATATTAATCCTAATAGGGTCAC